TGGGCGGCCGGAGCCCTGGGAGGAGGGCGGCAAGCCCCGGCCGGGGCTCCACTCTCCCCGGCGGCGAGCCCCAGCCGGGGCTCCGCTCTCCCCGGCGGCCGGAGCTGGAGCGCCGCACTGCGCCGCCCCCCTCCAGGTGCCGCCCCAAGCACAAGCTTGGTAGGCTGGTGCCTGGAGCCAGCCCTGTTCCCTGCTCCCATTTTCTGAGCTTTCTGATCCTTATTTCATTTGTTACTTTTCTAACGAGTTGTAAGGTGAGATTCTATAATACAGTTTGGCTGTTAGCACTATGTGTTTCTCCCCTTTCATGTCTGTATGATCAGATGAAAGCTCTGACCCCATTCCTAAATCTGCTTGGTTTAAAAATATATATATATTTTAAATTAGCCACTGGTATATTTTCCAGGAATAATTCAGAGTGTGCTCCTTACAATATAATCCACACTCTTTTTTTTTTTTATTATTATTATGGGGAGGGGGAAATTCAGTTTGTCAAAAATAAAGCAGCCTGTGGACTATTATTTCACTGAGGAACTGTAAGTCACCCTTTGGAGCTTATCAGGAGAAGCTGTAGTAGCAGCACTTGTGTGGACTAAACAGGGGCTGCAGTGGAGAAGAGGAGCCTGTTTTTGATGGCCTACTGGCATCCTCTAAATACCTAAAATAGATGGAATATACAGTCTTCTTCTGTTTCAGAAGATTGATTTGCTAACTCTGAAATATAATGGTGCACATTAATTCCTTTATGCAGCTGAAAAATGGGAGGGAAGTCATGAGAATTCTCCCTGCAGATTTCTGAAGCCTCTGTGGAAATCCCACAAATTGGGCTACTGGGATGTAGCACTTTTTCTGAACTGTGGAAAGTATAAACAATTCTAAATGATGCATGTTCTGCAGCCTATACACTCTGTAGGCTGTTTATTTTACCCCCTTTTAATCCTTGAAACCTAATCCTCCCAGTAGCCTCTGTTTAACAGTAGTATTGAAAATGGTTGGATGTTAATTCAGGTCAGGCTTTGTTTAAAAAATAATGTTCTCTAGCCTTGAAAGATGCTGAAGATCTTATAGATTTTGTTTTGCATTTTAGCTAAATATTTTAACATCTTCCACTATTATTATGTTAATAGATATTTCAAAAAAGATTTGTTTTCATGTTCATGTAAAAACAGCCCCATTCATTAAATCTTCATACTAATTCTGCACAAAGGTTGCAACTGGATTTAGTTTAGGAGGTACATGTGTGGTGCTGGGTTAGTCACTGTACTTCTCTGTGCCACATTTTCTAATCTGTAAAATTAGAATAATAGTTATCATCCTTTGCAAACAGCTTTCAGATATAGGGGTGAAAAGCCTGATATAAAAGCAAGATATTTCTGGTAGTAAATAATTCTTAAAATTCAAAACATTGTCATTTCTGGAGAATGAGGATGGATCATATGTCCATGCTCACTTTAAACGTATGCTCATATGTAAAATCCTTAAATAACTGCTAGAAGGCCTAATTTGGCTCTTTGAAGTCACTGGCCAAACACCCATCAATTTGAATGAGAATGGGATTGGGCTCATAGGTACAAAAGTGATCTCTTGTTAAATATGCCTGGTTGAGATTTGTGAGAGCTGGAAAGGCTCTCTGATAACAGATTCCCTATCTAGTGATACAATATACTCTGCTAATATTCTCTCAACTGTTCAATCTGTGTTCTGTGGCTTATGAAGTCTTGGCATTTCTTGCAGCTCCTTAGAATGACAATAGCAAAACAAAGACTTGGAGATGAAGAAGTTGGGGCACGCCACTTTGCAGCACACGAGCGTGAAGACCTTGTTCAGCAGCTGGAGAAAGCACGAGAACAAGTAATAACTAATGGGCGTTCAGTGAGAGATTGTTTTCACTGCTGGCAAAAGAACAAGTAAATTGCTATGCCTCTGCTGTGCTGTAATTGCTGTTACCTGGTTTGCAATGCAGATAGTGGTGTTGGTGGCAAGGAAGTATATACTCTGGTAGTATTTATTGTATAGATGTGTAAAGAGCATTCAGGGCACTTTATGCATTTACAAGGTATGCACCGGTATAGATCGAGTTGCTTCACCTCAGAAATTCATCCACCTCTAGGGTGGAATGTGACAGCTGTTGAGTAGCACATAGCAACAGTTTAGGATTGTCAGTGAAGAATCCCATATTTAATCAGAAATGTTAGAGGCACATAAGTCGACATGATACGAGATGCCCAAACTGAAATTTAGTCAGGGGACAGATTAATGTGTAAAAGTAGGTTGTTGTTTTTTTAATTTCCACAATTGGGTAAAACTTCTGATTGATCCCTTTTCCAAAATTCTTTGTGTCTTTCACCAGGAAAGTGCTCCTTAACACTGCACTTAGTACTCACTGTGTATTGAATCACCAAGACTTCATGGTGTCTTCACTGATAATTGGTATCTCTCATCCCAGTTCTCATCTGGTTTACTCCTGCTTACTGTACTGACGGCGGAACTTCAAAGGCCTGCAAACACTTCAGTTGAAACAACTGAGTTTTAAGGACAGGTGTTAGAACAGTTTTTCTGCCTTATGTAGACAAGTTTTGTTCTTATAATTAGAAATGGGTCAAAACTTGAACCTTAAATATGAAACCCTTCGAATTGTGAGGACTGCAGGGTTTTAAATTTTAATCCCAGGAGCTAAACCTGTCATTACAATCTTGGATCTGTGTCCAATCCAAAACCACCAAGGTCCCCTCCACCTCCTCCCCCCCATTCAGATAAAACTGTAATTTCTTAAGAACAACTGATCTCACAAGAAAGCCTTATCTAGATTTTGCCTCACACTCTACGCTAGCCCAGACCTACTCTATACCCAAATGCTAGCTCTTTGGTCCCATGATACCAAATTATAACCATGCTAGGAACCACTCGGCATACTTGTTGCTGACCTAGTTCCGACTATAGTATGAATAAGGTCTTCCTTTGCTATTGTATTCCAAATGGTTTCTAAATATTTTGCAAGCTACTTCATTTTTAATTGCTGGACTTTGTTTTAACTTTAGTTTTAACAAAATAGAGAAAAATAGAGTAAACAATACTTTTAAAACAAAATTGTGTATGCATGATCAAAAGAGGAGAACAACAAATACAATCTTTATTTTCCTTTTTTTGCTCTCATTTTAAAAGGGAGGAAATACAAGTGCAGAAAAAAGTGTAGCTCTATGAATTTGTCAGAAACTAAAGAAATTTTGTAGAAAGTCTATGCATCTCAACTTTTCTTACAATGGTGTCTTCAGTGATATTATTGACAACAATTATAGGGAGCATCATAAATTAAAATATTGCTTCGGTCAGGGTGAATTCTAATTTCTTCTTTCCAAATATATTCAGTTAGCTTGAGTAGAGATGTAGTGATCCACAAAGATTGGATCTAAACTTCTCTAAAGTTTTAAGGACGTTTGAATCTGGGGGGTTGGTTCAGTCTTCATATGCTGCCTTTTAGTATGCTTATGGCTACTTTTTGTTTTACTTTTATGGATTATCATAAATCTACTAACTGGCATTCTGAATCTAACCCTCTTCAGAAGCGAAGTACTTGCTACTCTTTTGTGTCTGGATATGATATACTCTTCAGTAAATTCTGCAGAATAATGATAGCAGAGCTTTGCTTTGCTTCTCAGATTGAGACTCTGGAACATGATCTTCAAGCCGCGTTGGATGAACTGCAGGATGTAAAGGAAGAACGCTCTTCTTATCAAGATAAAACAGACCGACTGAACCAAGAGCTTAATCACATCCTGGGAGGACATGAAAATCGCATCATTGATGTAGATGCCCTGTGTATGGAAAACAGGTGAGTGTATAGGAAGTGC